CTCACGAGGAACGTGGCTGGCCAGCGCCTGCACACAGCCCAGGGCTCAGGCAGAATACCCACGACCAACCGCACTGCGCAGGCGGCCAGCACTCGGCACGGGCACCCGCTCTTTCACTCTGACGAGGAGACACCTGCTCTCAGTTCCTTAAGGCCATGCTGTCGCCCCTGCCCCTCTGTGCCGCACAGCCCAGGGCAACTCACATCCTGGCCTCCTGCTGGCCTGGAGGCCAGGGGTAGCTGGTGACACCTGCCTGGTGCGCTTGCCCGGCAGGCGAGCAGGCACCCAGAACCTGCCAGAGAACGTGCCCGCGCAGGGAGCCACAGCTCCCCTGGCTCCAGCTCTCCTGGCATGACCCTTGGACCCACGAGCCCTCACCCAAAGGAGGGGTGGAGCACTGACCCCATGAGTAGGGCCGCAGGGCTACCCCAATGAGTGGGGAGAGACCCAGACACCTCTGCCTGCCTGCCTCCCTGCCATCATACACCCCAAAGGGTACTCTGTAGAACCGGGGTGTCCATGATGGGCGGGAAGGCCACAGGTGGGCTTGACATCACCCTGGGGCTTGTGATGGGCCCCGGGAGAGTTGTGAGACATAACACCCATGTCCTACAAGGTGTCCAGTCTCAGCCCAGCCATGTCCACGGCAGGCCAGGAGGCCATGCACTCTGGAGCCTGGGCCCACCTGACTGCGCCCCACACTGCCAGGGATGAGGCCTGGACACAATCCTGGTGCCACGCACCAAATCCCGACTTCTCGTTGGGGCCGGCTGCTGCTAGGACAGAGCTCGCTGGGGAAGGAACCAGAGCAAGCCTGGTAAGAGCCTAGGAGGGACCAGATAACTGGCCAGTCAGCTGACTAGATGGTCTGAACTCTGCAGGAATACACACTGGACAAAGCAGGCCCTGGTGGCTCACGCCTGCAATCCTAGCTACACAGGAAGAGCGTGGTCCCAACATAGCCTGGGCAAAAAAGTCTATGAAGCTCTTATCTCCCAACTAACCAGCAAAAAGCTCAAACTGGCAGAGTGGCTCAAGTGGCAGCCATGTCTAAACGTGCCAAGCAAGAGCTCGAGGCCCTGAATTCAAACCCTAGTACTGGCAAAATGCAGACAAAAATTTGTTAAAAACACTGGGCAGCAGCATGGATGCAGAGACGGGGGAGGGGGAGGGGGGAAAGGGCTATGCCTGCCCCCTCCCCCTCCTGGGTGGCCATGCCAGTCCTGAGACCAGTCTCCCCCTGTGCCACGGGGGCACTTCTGGGGATCCATCATTAAACCAACTCACTGGGAGGCCCGGCACGATGAGGGCCGACTGCAGATGGGGCCCAGCGGAACAGGCAGGGTACCAGGGCGAGAGCAGCGACCTGTGCCCATCCACACCCGTAACAGAGGAAAGGCGGCATGGCGGGCAGGAGGTGCATCTGGCAGGCCCCTGGCAGCAGCAGAACCGACAGCGCTCACCTCTGAGTGACAGTTCTGCTCTAGCCCAGGAGATGAAAGGATGGTAAGGCAGCGGGAGACGGGTGGAGGGAGCCACATGGGTGCATGCCCGACACATGGTGAGCCGGGCAGAGGCCTGGTCTCCTCCTGCCACCAGCACTGGTGCGGTGCAGGGGTACCCAAGGACAGAGCCATGCCCTGTCACCACACCCCACATTCTGGGCATATTATCCAAGCATCCCAGCCACTATGCCCAGCCTGTTCTGTTTGAACCATGATACTCCTTATTTCTGCCTCCCAAGTATCTAGAACTACAGCACAAACCGCTAGTACCTCGCCAGAATGTCTTTTCTAATAAAGAATACACACACACACACACACACACGATTGTATTTTTGTCCACAAGCCTTCAGGAAAAACTTAACTGTGGAGCTAATGCTTCCTCACTGGTATATTCCAAGCCTGATTAAAAGAATGTTTCAGGGTCACACAGAGGCGGCATACTATGTACCCCATAGAGTTGCATGGTGTAGACAACAACTAACCCTAACCAACTCTGATGTCTGCAGTTTGGGCTGTCAGCACTGACAGACACAAAAACTCGCTGGGTCTAGAGAGGACCTGGGCATCTCACACTATCAGCCTTAGGCCTTGCTGGGTAACTCGCAGCATCAGAACCCAACTCAGGGCCAGGCATGGCTGGCCTGAGGGGTGGAGCAGCCGAAGAGCAGGCTCCACCCCCAGCTCTGAGCCCACCTCCACCCCTGCGGGTCAGAGGCTGTGTTCACCAAGTCTGCTCCCCTGGGGAACCCACCATCTGGATGTGAGCTGCCATCCCGGCCTGGCGCTGAGACTCATGTCTGGCCACAGGGTGACACACACAGAATCCAATAGAACGCAGGCCCATGGTGGAGCCAGTGGCTGCCCTCGCCCTCTCCTTACTGTTCAGCACGGTTTAGCCTCATGGGATGTGCCAAGATGTCCCGGAGGGGCTGGGAAGGTGGCTCAGTGGTAGAGCGCTCGCCTTGCATGCATGAGGCCCTGGGTTCGATTCCTCAGCACCACATAAGCAGTAAAAGCCGGAAGTGGCACTGTAGCTCAAGTGGTAGAGCGCTAGCCTTGAACTAAAAAGATGATGGACAGCGACCAGGCCCTCAGTTCAGGCCCCATGACCCAAAACAACAACAATTCAGGCCCCATGACCCAAAACAACAACAAAAAGATGTCCCTGAGTTTCCAGCAGAGTGACCGCTCTGCCTGACCTCTATGACAGTCACAGCAGCAGACAGGCCCCAGCAGGGTGGGCCAGGGCAGGGTGCTTGGGACACTAGGCTTCCCCTCTTCGGAGTGGGCTTGGGGAGCAGTCTCCTGTACCCCAACAGCTGAGTGCTGTTCACTCAAGTCTCAGCCAGGCCCTACACATATCAAGGCCCCCACAACCTCTGGGTCACTCAACACCCCGAGAGTCCGTGTACACCACGCCAGCCTCCTCCATGCGGCCTGGGCCGGTAACACCACCCAGGCCCTGCATGCCGCCTGGACCCACCAGCACCACTCAGCCCGTCACGCCCAGCTGGCACAGCCTACTGTCCAGAGAGGAACCTTGGGTCTTACTGTGGCAAAGCCTTTGGGCACAGACACCAGATGTGGAGACCAGAAATGTCCGAGCTGAGAAGGGTGACCCGGACCGCAGGCCCAGAGCGGCTCAGAGGCCATCAGGATAGTGCAGCAAGGCCAACGGGAGGTCATCTCCAGGGGCACATCCCCACAGTCCGCTTACGGCCCACCATTAGGAAGGCCAGTGTCATGTTCAAGGGTCCCTAAGGGGGCATTGGTTCCCAAGGCCAGCTCTGCAGAGTCAAGCTCTCGCCAGTGGTCAGCTCTTAAGTAAAACACGATGAGGCACTCCCAAGCCATCCACACCCAACATCTCCACACAGTGCCCCGACCTCCCACCATGTCCACACAGTGCCCACGTCCTGTCTCCATGACTACACGCAGTACCCACGTCCATGCACAGTACATCTCTCCCCACGTCCACACAGACACCAAGCCACGTCCTCTCCCTACGTCCACAGACACCAAGCCACGTCCTCTCCCCACATCCACACGGACACCAAGCCACATCCTCTCCCCACGTCCACAGACACCAAGCCACGTCCTCTCCTGTCACGTCCACACGGACACCAAGCCACGTCCTCTCCCCACGTCCACACGGACACCAAGCCACGTCCTCTCCTGTCACGTCCACACGGACACCAAGCCACGTCCTCTCCTGTCACGTCCACACGGACACCAAGCCATGTCCTCTCCTGTCACGTCCACACAGACACCAAGCCACGTCCTCTCCTGTCACGTCCACACAGACACCAAGCCACGTCCTCTCCCCACGTCCACACGGACACCAAGCCACGTCCTCTCCTGTCACGTCCACATGGACACCAAGCCACGTCCTCTCCTGTCACGTCCACACAGACACCAAGCCACGTCCTCTCCCCACGTCCACACGGACACCAAGCCACGTCCTCTCCCCACGTCCACACGGACACCAAGCCACGTCCTCTCCCCACGTCCACACAGACACCTACCCCACGTCCTCTCCCCACGTCCACACGGACACCAAGCCACATCCTCTCCCCACGTCCACAGACACCAAGCCACGTCCTCTCCTGTCACGTCCACACAGACACCAAGCCACGTCCTGTCCTGTCACGTCCACACAGACACCAAGCCACGTCCTGTCCTGTCACATCCGCACAGACACCAAGCCACGTCCTGTCCTGTCACGTCCGCACAGACACCTACCCCACGTCCTCTCCCCACGTCCACACGGACACCAAGCCACGTCCTCTCCCCACGTCCACACAGACACCAAGCCACATCCTCTCCTGTCACGTCCACAGACACCAAGCCACGTCCTCTCCCCACGTCCACACAGACACCAAGCCACATCCTCTCCTGTCACGTCCACACAGACACCAAGCCACGTCCTCTCCCCACGTCCACAGACACCAAGCCACGTCCTCTCCTGTCACGTCCACACAGACACCAAGCCACGTCCTCTCCTGTCACGTCCACACAGACACCTACCCCACGTCCGCTTCTCATGCATTTACAGATACTGATGCTACCCCATTTCTTAAGCAACCTGAGGTGCCGACTCCACGTCCCCAGGAGATCCGGCACCCCCGCCTGTGACCAGAGCTGGTCTCTGTGACTTCTGTATGCTCCATCACCACCTCTGGTCCCTACCATCAGGGCCAGACCTGACTCGTGACCTGACACTGTGCTGGCATTGCTGGCAAGGAAGGGCAGAAAGGGTAGGCCTCCAGCTCAGGCTCCGCCCTGTGTTCCTCGCCCCACCGCGTGACTCATGTCTCCATCCGTGGTTTGTCTTGAGTGGCACGCACCCTCTGCCACTGCCCCGCACTCATCCAAGAAGGGAGTGCGAGCTGGCTCTCCACGCCGGCAGAGCCCGGGCTGTGCCCTGCAGAGAATGACACCCTCACAGTGATGGCTGACAGGCCCATAATCACGGACCTCCCCATTTCCACTTACCAGACCTGTCCCACGTTGACCAGGGACAGGTAGAGGACCCAGAGGACAGCCATGAGGATCATGTTGGCACAGCCGGTCACCAGGATGAAGGCTGAGATGCCCAACCCCAGCAGCGCAAAAAGGTCCAAGTTGAAGTTCATATCCGACCAGTCTAACAGCCAGAAGAGGGTTGGAGCATAGCTCCAGGCGTCCCAGCTGGCCTGGCCCTGGAAGTACTGTTGGACACTCCTCAGGTACAGCCTGCAGGGAAGCAGGCCCCGATCACCAATCAGGGCCTTGTTCTGCTGGAAAGCCACCAAGAAGGCCACACCTGGAGGGAGAAAAGCATAAGGACGTGAGCAGCAGGGCCTGTGGGCAGCACGGAAGCTTTCCAGACACGCAGGGCAACCGACGGTTTGACATCTGCACCACACTGTCCCACGTTCCTGGGGCAGGCTGGAGCCTGTGTCTGCTTGTGTGTGACTTCGACAAGCTGCCAGGAGACGGCCCACTTACCCAGACCACATCCAGACCAGGCCTTCACACCCCCCTGAGGACCCCTCCCAGCAGCAGCACTGTCCACACGGAAGCTCAGCGGCCCTGACACAACACCCCTCCACAGGGCACCCTCACCTCCTGTGGGCATGGGGGGGGGACTGAGCCGAGAGGATGCCGGGCACTATGTGGAGATGTCAGAGGGGCTGTGCTCCATCAGCACACGCAGGAACAGGGGAGCAGAGAGGAAGGTACGGACAAGGCTCCCACGGCCTCTACCACACAGAAACAGATGCTGGAGGGAGCGTCCCACGGTATAACCTCCAGCCAGCACCTCCTCAGTGCCGGACGGCCTCTTTCTAGTACAATCCAGCCCCAATGTGCAAAATAACCACGGAAAAGTGAGATTTGGCCTTCCCAACTTAAAAGTTCAAGAAAGTATAAGACAGTGTAGAAAACTTCCTAATTACTCCCCCACCCCCCAAAAAAACAACCATGAGGAAAGACTGGACTTAAGTTTGAGAAGACAGATGCTTAGTTAACTCCTATCATACAAGCAACGGAGCAGAAAGAAGAAACAGCAGGGACTTCACAGCAAAACCCACCTGCCTCACAGACGTGGCCGGTGAGGGAAGGTCGCTTTGCCAGAACCTGCCCAGCCTCTCCCTGGGGCCCCAGCCTAGAAAACCTCACATCCCCAAGGGCAGCTGGAGACATCTCAGAAGGGGCCACAAGGTCTTGGGGCTTCCTCTTTTTTTCCCCTTCAGATTAAAAACTAGAACAGAATCGCCCGGCAACACGGCCTCTGTGGGCGGCTGCTGCTGACGGCTCAGACCCGGGCTCAGGCACCTCAACAGCTTCCACCGGAGCGGTCAGGCCAGGCAGCCTGGGGAGAAGACAGGCTCTCCTTCTCCCCACCTGTGTGTGCCCAGCCTCCGGGGAGCTCAGCACGGCACCCCACAGGAAACTTTCTGGAGCCTTCCAGACATCATCTAAGAGTGCGAAACACAGGTGCAGGCAAGTGTGCTACCACCTCCCTCCTGTGCCCTGCGCAGCTGTGGGGGTCCAGGTGCTCTGAGGGGGCAGGCCCGGGTCCAGGCGCGCTGAGGGGGCGCTGAGGGGGCGGGGCTGGGGTCCGGGGGCGCTGAGGGGGCGGGGCTGGGGTCCGGGGGGCGCTGAGGGGGCGGGGCTGGGGTCCGGGGGCGCTGAGGGGGCGGGGCTGGGGTCCGGGGGCGCTGAGGGGGCGGGGCTGGGGTCCGGGGGCGCTGAGGGGGCGGGGCTGGGGTCCGGGGGCGCTGAGGGGGCGGGGCTGGGGTCCGGGGGCGCTGAGGGGGCGGGGCGGGGGTCCAGGTGAGCCCAGGGGCGGGGCTGGGGTCCGGAGGCGCTGAGGGGGCGGGGCTGGGGTCCGGGGGGCGCTGAGGGGGCGGGGCGGGGGTCCGGAGGCGCTGAGGGGGCGGGGCTGGGGTCCGGGGGCGCTGAGGGGGCGGGGCGGGGGTCCGGAGGCGCTGAGGGGGCGGGGCTGGGGTCCGGGGCGCTGAGGGGGCGCTGAGGGGGGCGGGGCTGGGGTCCGGGGCGCTGAGGGGGCGCTGAGGGGGCGGGGGCTGGGGTCCGGGGGCGCTGAGGGGGCGGGGCTGGGGTCCGGGGGCGCTGAGGGGGCGGGGCTGGGGTCCGGGGCGCTGAGGGGGCGCTGAGGGGGCGGGGCTGGGGTCCGGGGGCGCTGAGGGGGCGGGGCTGGGGTCCGGGGGCGCTGAGGGGGCCGGGCGGGGGTCCGGGGGCGCTGAGGGGGCGGGGCTGGGGTCCGGGGCGCTGAGGGGGCGCTGAGGGGGCGGGGCGGGGGTCCGGGGGCGCTGAGGGGGCCGGGCGGGGGTCCGGGGGCGCTGAGGGGGCGGGGCGGGGGTCCGGGGGCGCTGAGGGGGCGGGGCGGGGATCCGGGGGCGCTGAGGGGGCGGGGCGGGGGTCCGGGGGCGCTGAGGGGGAGGGGCTGGGGTCCCGGGGGCGCTGAGGGGGCGGGGCGGGGGTCGGGGGCGCTGAGGGGGCGGGGCGGGGGTCCAGGTGAGCCCAGGGGCGGGGCCGGGGTCCAGGTGAGCATAGAGGTCAGCACGTGAGGTCAGCCACCCACCAAGGGAAAGGGAGTTCCAGAAGCGTTCGAGAAGAACGAGGGTCCCGGCGCGCCCTGGGGACCCCGACGGCCCCGACCCCCGAGGACAGGCCCGAGGCCCCCCCCGCCCCGGCCCGGCCCGCCCCCCCCCGCCCCGCCCCGGCCCGCCCCCCCCCGCCCCGCCCCGGCCCGCGCCCCGCCCCGCCCCGGCCCGCGCCCCCCCCCCCGCCCCGCCCGCGCCCCCCCCCCCCCGCCCCGCGCCCTGCCCGGCCCGCGCCCCCCCCGCCCCGGCCCGCGTCCCCCCCCGGCCCGCGTACCCCCCGCCCCGGCCCGCGCCCCCCCCCCCCGCCCCGCGCCCCCGCCCCCCCCGCCCCGCGCCCCCCCCCGCCCCGGCCCGCGCCCGCCCCCGCCCCGGCCCGCGCCCCCCCCCCCCCCGCCCCGCGCCCCCCCCCCCGCCCCGGCCCGCGCCCGCCCCCGCCCCGGCCCGGCCCGCGCCCCCCCCCCCCCGCCCCGCCCCCGCGCCCCCCCCCCCGCCCCGCGCCCCCCCCCCGCCCCCGCGCCCCCCCCCGCCCCGGCCCGCGCCCCCCCCCGCCCCGCGCCCCCCCCCGCCCCGGCCCGCGCCCGCCCCCCGGCCCGGCCCGCGCCCCCCCCCGCCCCGGCCCGGCCCGGCCCGGCCCGCGCCCCGCAGACACTCACAGTAAACGAAAGCCAGCGCCCGCAGGAGCACGACCCGCGTCAGCCAGAAGGTGCCCGCTTGCAGGCGGTCCGGGCGGCCTGCGGGCTCGCGACTCGGCGCGGGCGGCGGCGACCCGGGCGCCGGGTCTGCGCTCCCGACCTTCCGTCTCCTCAGCGGCTCCTCGTACGCGGCCATTTGCACGACGGACTCCGCGCATGCGCGAAGACGGCGGCACGCCGCGAGGCCCCGCCCACCGGCCCGGAAGCCGCCCCTCTGCTGGCCGCGCCTTCTCCTCAGGCCCCGCCCGCGGGCCCCGGCGCCGGCCCTCTCCGCAGACACCGCCCTCCGGCCCGGCGCCACGCCTTCTCCGATGGCCCCGCCCTCCCGCAGGCCCCGCCCTCCGCCCGGCGCCACGCCTTCTCCGATGGCCCCGCCCTCCCGCGGGCCCCGCCCCCGCGCGGCTCTGGGCTCAGCTGGCGGCGGGAAGGACGCGGTGGACGCGAAGGATCGCGATCGGGAGCCCGGGCGGGGCCAGCGCAGACCTGGGGCCGGGCCACGCGGAGGCTCACAGCCTGTGAGTGACAGAATAGCGAGTCGGTAGAGCGCGGACCGTCCACGTTGCTCGCGGGTGGAAACGTCACAGTCTCCGCCTCTGCGCGGCCGAAGCCAAGAAAGCAAACCGACACCACAGACAGACAGACAGACAGGCCGACCCACCGTCGGACCTGCCGCCGTCGGTCGCGGGCCTGGGCCTGGCGCCGTCCCTCAGCGCTCCACTGCCGAGCCGCCTTCCCCGCCCGCAGAGCTGCTCACACCAGCTGGACCAGGGCTGCCCAGCCACGAAGAGTGCGGTCCTACCACGGGGCCTTAAAACGCGCGCCCAGCACCGCCAATGCGCGGGGCACACGCTGCCCAGCACCGCCAATGCGCGGGGCACACGCTGCCCAGCACCGCCAATGCGCGGGGCACACGCTGCCCAGCACCGCCAATGCGCAGAGCACACGCTACTGGGGGCTGGGAAGGTGGCTCAGTGGTAGAGCGCTTACCTTGCATGCCTGAGGCGCTGGGTTCGATTCCTCAGCACCACATAAGCAAAAAGAAAAAAGCCGGAAGTGGCGCTGTGGCTCAAGTGGTAGAGAGCTAGCCTTGAGCTGAAGAGCTGAGGGACAGCGCCCAGGCCCAGAGTTCAGGCCCCACGACCAGACCCCCCCCAAAAAAAAAAGAAAAGAAAAGAAAGAACACGCTACTGAGCACAGTCAATGCATATAGCTGAGAACATGCTACTGAGCATGTTACATGTGTGTTCCACTCACATGTGGAAGCTAGACCTAAAATACATATTTATCAACAGTGTACACACATGTGTGTACGTGCATGTATAAACACATATAACATGACATTTGGGGGGATGAGGGAAAGGAGAGAGAGACAAAAAGGAAGGTGAAGGATGACTAATTTTGAAATACAGTACAACCATGTATGAAGACGGCAGACGGAATCTCAGTGAAAACTTGCTCGATAGGAGTTGGGAGGACCAGGAAAGAGGAAACAATAGAGGGTATTCTGTTTTGGTAAATATTTTTATTGTTATTATGAAGATGTACAGAGGGGGTTACAGCTACAAAATCAAGAGTACATTTCTTACTTCTCTCCTAGTTTTCCCCTCCTGTCCCCACCCACAAGTTGTAGAGTTCATTCTCAGCCACGGGTAATGAGTACCACGTTTGCATTTATTCACCTTTTGTCAACAGGGGTGTTCTGAGCAAAACATGATATGTTTACGTTTGAAGTACCATGTTGACATCGCTTGGTGCAATTAGTAAACACTTAAAAAAAGGACAGGAAAGTAAGACAGGCTCTGGGGGAAGGGGCACACCAGTAGAAGGGGTGAATGAAGATGAGTATGGTGGAAGCAGTTTGTTCTCATGTGTGGAAATAGAGCAATGAGTCCTGCTGAAATGTAAGAAGGGTAGGGAGGGCACCAGGGCACAATATATGGAAAAGTCACCATGAAATCCCCTGCGCAACTGATACATACTAGTAATAAAAAATAAAAGAGTAAAAGAAAAAGGCCGCTGAGAACTCAGGAGGAGGGAAGAGCTGACCCATGGCCTGATCAGAGCCTAGCTCCTGCTTCTGGTTTTTTTTTTTGGGCGGGGGGGGGGGGGGGGGGTTGCGCGGTGTATGTCACTGCTTGGAAGTGTACACGTGTATAAAGGAGAGACGGCCAGCCCTACGGCACTGGGCAAGCTTTTCAGTGCCCTTTGCGTATTAGGCCCTGCCCCCTTGTGCATACTGCGGATGGCTGTCTGGGTGTTGATTTTAGCATCTTTTTGCCTTTAGCCTTTCAATTTTTCTTTTTGCCGGTCCTAGGTCTTGAACTCAGGGCCTGGGCACTGTTCCTGAGCTTATTTTGCTCAAGGCTGGTTCTCTACCACTTGAGCTACAGCACCACTTCCTGCTTTTTCTGTGTATGTGGTACTACTCGGGAATGGAACCCGGGGCTTCATGCATGCTAGGCAAGCACTCTACTGCGAAGCCATCTTCCCAGCCCCAGCCTTGAATTTTTATCCTGCTGTTTTGACATCTAAATTATCAATGCTTCCATGGTCAAATGATCCAAGTTTACTGTTTGTTTACCCCTCACATCTACAGGGAGTGAGAAGAGGGCAGGGATCAGCCATGCACCCTGGATCCCCGCCAAGTCTAGGCCAGAGCAGCAGCTTCTGAGACCCCTCTCCAGCCTCCGACCTCCCCCCCCCTCCCCAGCCCAGATGCTGGGAAAATAGCATGTAAGTACATCTTACAGTGTGGTTTGGTTTATTTCGTTTTTCTCTGTGAGAAAACCTCCCTCAGGAGCCCAGCTGTGAAGCATGACCCCGAACAGATGTTGCAGTGGGCAGCACAAACGCTGTGCACATCCTGCTGTCTCCCGAGGGGTGGGTGTACCCAGGGCCTGCAAGTCTTGGGGTCCTGGGGGAGTCAGGCCAGAAGCCTTGGGGTCCTGTGGAGACTGACAGGCCAGGACTCTGGGGACAGTCAGGCTGGGGGAGGGGTACCCTGAGCCCAGGCCTTCCCATCCTCACTAGAGGGTTCCAGGTACAGAGTGACCCCCAAGGCCCTGTGGAGAGAGCAGCGTGAGCCTGCAGAGCCAGCAGAGCCAGCAGGTCCAGCCTGCAGGCCAGAGCGGCAGAGGGGACAGAGGACAGCTCTGCCATCAGGTGGAACTCTCTGCACTGTTGTTCAGGTGGGGACTGTCCTCACAAAAGAGCCTTTGTCCTCAGCTTCCCCTGCTGGGGCCGAATTGTCCTCCCCACAGAAGGGCACAATGAGGCATTGTGCGGAGCAGAAAAGGGCCTCTTGTTTCAGCATCCTGCCCTCCAGCCCAGGCTGGGCCCTGGGCTCCCTCTCTGGGTTTGTCCAGGGTGGGCATGGCCGGTGGAGGGGTCTGCTGGGCACGCCTGCCCTCTGCATCCGCGTTTCCTGCCAGGTCCAGCTTCCTGAGACTGTCTGGAACTGGCTGGAGAGCAAGTCACACCGGCCAAGGAGAAGCTGCCAATGGCTGAACCTTGTCCATATCAGCCGGAGTTTAATCAGAAGTGCCCTGGGGTGGTATTCATGGGCAAACAGGAACAAAATTCTGATACAATGTGGATGAAACAGAAAGCTGGGACAAGATAGCCACGGATGCAGCGGTAGGGAGTGGGAAGAGGCAGCTGGCGGGAGACAGAGAGGGGGCTGTGGATGCTTGGTGTAGAGGCTCACCTGGAGACCCTCACTCGACAGAGGAGACAACGTGGAATTGTGGGCGCATAAGCACTGCTGAAGCCTCCCGTTGACCATGGCCACATTCATGCTACGTGAATCTCACCTCAGTCAGAACAACAACAACAAAACAACACTAAGGCTGGATATAAGCAGCACCTGGACGGCATAGCTTTCACCTGAGCAATGATGAGTCTTTCTTGACCCCAGGCCTGACTTTACTAGACACTTCACAGTTGTAGACAACTTCGGGATACAGCTGGGTCTTAGGCCCAAAGAAACACCACAGAGAAAATGGAAACTGCAAACCTGGTGGAAGCTGGGTCCGGTGGTGCACATCTGCAGTCCCAGCACTTGGAAGCGGAGGCAGGAAGCCCTCAGGTTCAAGGTCAGCTTGGGCTGCCTCTAGAGATCCTGTCTCAACAAAGCAAAATACCCGGATGGAGCCATCCATCTAGGAAATGCATGCATGGGTGGTGGCCAGCAGGACGGCAGAGCCGCAGCGACCTGGGCCTGTCACCGGGGCCCAGGTCCTCTGCCAGCACCCGGCTGTACCCCGAGTGCTCACCGGCAGGAGGAGGGGCAGAGAGAGTCCTGAGCTAACACTACCAGGCAGAAAGTTAGAAGAATGGGCAGCCGAGGGGAGGGGAGCCCCAGGGCTTCAAAGGACCCACGAAAACAGAAGGGAGATAGAACAGTGGTCAAGAGGAGCCGCCTGCCCGGCCCAGGCTGGGTCCGTGGAGGCTGGAGCATGCCCGCCCCGGGCTGGGCCTTGTGCCACGCAGCCCGGAGCTGCCCCGGCACCGCCAAGGGGACAGGGCGCCCAGCCCGAGGGCTGGCGGCCCTCCCACAGCTGCGGGACGCCTCCCCGAGGAATGAGGCCCCTGTCAACACCTCGTCCAGCTGTCCCCGGGCACCCGGGCCCGCCACCCCCACCGCCTCAGCGTGATTGTCCCTGACATGCAATCGCAGCTGTCCCTGGCACCGGCGCGAACCCAGCTTGGGCCCGAGTCGAATTGTACATCCTTCATTTACCACAATTTTTCATGTTTTGAAGTCCGCTGGGGGGGGGGGTGGCACCGGTGCTCACATCTGTCCCCTTCCCCTAGAGGGACCGTGGCTTCGGGCTTCTCCCAGCCCTGCTGTCCAGCGGCCAGCGCTGCCGGGGGAGGCGGGCAGGTGTTGTGCTTCTTGTGGGCCACGCTGAGGCTGAGCCTCCCCTCCCACAGCCTCCTCGCCCACCACATCCCAGAGGGGCCGCCGTCCGCCGTGACTGCCGGGCAGTGGTGAGGCAGAGCTCTTAATGGCTCTCTGGAGACAGAGCTCTAGGGTAAAACACAGAGGAGGCCTTTGTCCTTTTTTTCTTCATGAAATTGTGTTTAGAACAGGAAGAAATCTCGGACGCTGCCCAGAGGTCAGAACCCAGAGGCCTGTGGCCTGGACTCAGCCTTCAGAACTGTATCCATCTCTGCACTGGTCACACAGGGTCCCTCTCCTGCTGCATAACAAACAGCCCCAAACCTCCAGTCAGGTCAGCACCCAGGGCCAGAGCCCTGATGTTGGGCGCAGAGGCAGAGCCTGGCATCTCCTGGGACCTGTGCTCCAGGAAACTTGACCCAGGACTGGTCTAGACCTTAGGCCGCCACTGCTGCTTCTGCAACCATGGCCTGCCTGGTGCCGGGGGAGGGGAGAGGGCTGTCCCACGTGTCAGTCCCCCCCCCAGGGGCATTTTGCTAAGGCCTCCCCTGCACCCAGAAAATGATGAAGGTGCTTTTGTGGGCGCGCCTAACTAGCCTGGTCCCCGGAGGACTGGAGCTCCCTCTCACCGCACCGGGAATCGTCACTGTGGCTCGGTCACTTAGAGCCACGCGCCTCCCCGGCTACCCTGAGAGGTCCAAACATGCACCGTGAGCAAAAACAACGGTGCTTGTTTGGACTCAAGAGTCCAGCCTGCAACAGTGGACCCGGGCACTGGCAGACAGACCACGGGCTGAGCTCAGAGGCTGCTCGCTCGCTCTTTCCTTGTAGTTCAACTCAGAGCCTGGCACTTGCCAGGCTGCCTCTACCTTTTGAGTCATACCTCCAGCCTTCCTTTTCCCTGTTTATTTTGGAGATGGAGTCTAGCACGCTTTTACACACAGACTGGCCTTAAAACTGAAATCCCCTGGATCTTAGCCTCCCGAGCAGCTAAGGCGGCAGGCGTGTATCACCAGCACCCAGCTGGCGTTCGTCATTTTCAAGGTAGGGTCTCGCGTTATGTCCAGTTGGGCCTGGACTGTGAGTCTCCCATTTGCTCCCCTCCGTCACTGGGATGACAGGTGCACAAAACCCCGTGCCCAACTGCCGCTTAAGAGCCAGTCTTACGAACATTTAATGCCTGAGCTGGCCTTCAACCAAAACCCCTGCCTTCTGCCTTGTGAGCTATTGTAGCTAGAGCCTGAGCCACCACCCCTGGTACAGGACATGGTTTCTGAAGTACAAGGCCCATCAGCGTCCTGTCCCTGGCTGACAGCCTCTCCCGGACCCTACATGGTGTCTCGGTATCCAGAAGAGAGCCTGGCATGGAGGGAATGATGGAGACGGTGGTGAAGGCCAGGCTGAGGTCAGGAGACCAGGGACTGCGATGGTCCGAAGGCCCGAGATATCCTGGGCTGGAATGGGGCTGAGGCGTGGAGGCTGAGCACCGGGAATGGGGCTGAGGCGTGGAGGCTGAGCACCGGGAATGGGGCTGAGGCGTGGAGGCTGAGCACTGGGAATGGGGCTGAGGCGTGGAGGCTGAGCACTGGGAATGGGGCTGAGGCACAAGGAGCAGACGTGGAGGGTCCTCACTCTCCTAGGGATGGCTGTGGGCGGGATCTTGCCAAGGATTTTGTCACATGGCTGCAGGAGCGCCCTCTGCGTGTTGAGCAGGAAGTGCTGAGCACCAGTGGGCGTGGCTTGGATCAGCTCTGCCCGAGCCCTGACAGGGTGGGCCGGCCAGGAGCTTGGGGATCACAGCAGCAGAGGCTGATGGGTGCAGGGTAGACACCCCAGCTTCCCCAAGCACATTGTGCACCCGTCATCGCAGGCAGGATTTCCCCTTCCCCGAATCCCTTCAAACAGCAGAGCCCAGGCAGGAGGGACGGCGGGGCGGGGGGCGGGGGGTCTGCAGTGAGGACACTGAGGAGACTGGCAGCTTCTCCAGGACCCTGGGCCGGGCCCGCTGGGAGTACCCGCTGAGAGACAGGAACGGGGTAGGCGCTTCACTCCTGGGCCAGGAGGCCAGGAATGGATCCTCAGCCCAGCCAGAACTCCCGGCTAGCCAGCTCTGAGTCCTCGAGACCACTATGCTAAGGTGGGGTCGTCCAGCCGGGGCGCTTGGCCAAGGGCCCTCGCATCTGTTAGAGGGAGGCTGGACCCCGGGGGGGTCCTGAGCGGAGCCCAGTAGCCCCTGTCCAGCTTCTCTGGGGACAGGACAGGCAAGGCAGCTGTCTTCAGGAGCTGCTGCTCTGAATTCACCCTTCTCTACTTCTGCCAGACCAGCCAGTAATTAAAAGCACTAATTAATCTCTGAGATTAATGACTAGAACGGGATGCCAACTGCCCGATGCACTGCCCTGAGCACAGAAACCAGAGAGGCCCCCGCAGTAATGTGCCGGCCTGGGGCTCGGGGGCCTACCCCCCCCTGTGGACACGCTGTCCCTGACTCCTGATGGGCTGAGGTGGACAAGGGCAGCAGCGGGGACCCTGGTCTGCAGTGGGGACACTGGCCCAGCACAGACCCAGGGCTTCCTGCCACCGTCCCCACAAGACAAGGGTGTGGAGAGACAACGGCGGTGTCTGAGCCAGGACTGTGGGCAGAGGGAGCCTCCGGCCCATGCCTCTTGTGGGGGTCCATCTGCTCTCTGAGGTGCCAGGGCTAGCTGCCCGAGGACGAGCCCTGGCCAGCCATTCCTTCCCCTGGAGACGGCCAAGCAGTCCAGGTGATGGTCATCAGGTCTGGGGTGAGGTCCTGCGGGCAGGAGAGAAGAGCCGGGGGAAGACGGGAGATGGTACGCTTGGACGAGGACCTGCGGCCTGCAAGGCGGGCCGTGGCGGCTCAGACGCGCCCCTCCACCACGAGACCCCTGTGTCGAAAGCCCCGTGGGTTTGCGCCCTGGGAGCGGCGCCCTCCTCCTCCAGCTCTCAGATGAACGGGGCCTTAGCCTTCCGTGGCTCCTCCCCTGCGGGCGAACTTCCGCAGGCCGAGAGGACTCTGCCCAGCACCCTGGAGGCGCGGGCTGCACGGAGCCTGGCGGGTCCCGAGCTGGGAAGGGTTTGAACCAGGTCTCCGTCTCCTCCTCCACTCACAACTCACTATCTAGCTCAGACACAGCGCTGGCCGGCGCTTTCCACGGAGGCCGGAGACAAGCAGCACCGGTGGACCCTCCTGGGGTCTCACACCTTGTGAAGGGCCCCAGGGGCTGGGGAGGGTGTGTGTGTGTGTGTGTGTGTGTGCTGGGGAGTGTGTGTGTGCTAGGGAGTGTGTGTGTGCTAGGGAGGGCGGGCGTGTGTTGGTGTGTATGCTGGGGAGGGTGTGTGTGTTGGGGAGGTGTGTGTGCGTGCCCATGCCCTGAGTGCGGGGACCTCCAAGGGAAGGGGAGCCGGGGGGAGGGAAGGCCCGCTGCCCAGGGAGGCGCACTGCTCAGGGAGGCCCACTGCTCAGGGAGGCTGGCTGCTCAGGGCCAGGCTCCTCAGGGCCAGGATGCCCAGGGCCAGGATGCCCAGGGCCAGGCTGCCCAGGGAGGTCCGCTGCTCAGGGCCAGGCTGCTCAGGGAGGCTGGCTGCCCAGGGCCAGGCTCCTCAGGGCCAGGCTGCCCAGGGAGGCCGGCTGCTCAGGGCCAGGCTGCCCAGAGCCAGGCTGCCCAGGGAGGCCGGCTGCCCAGGGCCAGGCTCCTCAGGGCCAGGCTGCCCAGGGCCAGGCTGCCCAGGGAGGCCGGCTGCTCAAGGCCAGGCTGCCCAGGGCCAGGCTGCCCAGGGCCAGGCTGCTCTGGGGTCTGCAGTCCGGGACGGCTGGTGCCTGGCTTGGAAAGGTGCGCTCTGGAACGTTCTGTGCCGGCGTAGCCCCTTCGAATCTGGCCACACCGGGAGGATGCCGCCCCGCGTCCCCCACCTCCCGCATCCGCGGCTGGAGCCGGGCGCCCGGGCCGAGACGCAAGCCGTGCAAGCCGGGCGGGGAGGCGGCGGCCCCTCGTCCCCGCGCCGACCCCGCGCCCTCCCCTCCGCCCGCGCGGGGCGCCCGCCCGGCCCGGCCCCCGCCTCCGCGGACCACCCAGGCCTCCCGCCGGGGCCTGCGCCGGCCGGGTCACGCCCGGAAGGCCGAGCCCCCGCGTCCGGCCCGCCGCCCGCCCGCCGCCCCAGGGACGCGGCCGCCCCGCCCGGCACGGCGGGGTGCGGGAAGCCCTCGCCCACCTCGGACCCGCCGGGGGTCCCCGCGGCGCGCGTCCCGGGCGCGTCGGCCGGGCTCAAGGCGGCGCGGGGAGGCCGGGGAGCCCCGGGGAAGCGGCCGGTGCGGGGCGCGGGCCGCCGGGCGTGGGCTGCGGGGCGCGGGGCCCACGTGGTGCGCCGGGCGGGGCCCTGGCCGGGCGGGGCGGGGCGTCAGGCTCCGCCCCCGGGCCGGGCGCCGGCCAATCGGGGCCGAGGGGCGGGGCCCGGGCTCGGCTTAAAGAAACTTGTTGCGGGCCGGGCCCGGGACGGAGCTGCGGCGGCGGCGGCGGCGCGCGTCCGGCGCGGGTTCGGCGGCCGCGGGGGGAGGTTGGGCTGCGCGCGGCGACCCCGGGCCCCGGAGCTCGGACCCGGCCCGGCCCTCGGCGCGCCCCGTGCGCGCGGCCCGATGCTGGACATGAGCGAGGCCCGCGCGCAGCCGCCCTGCAGCCCGGCGGGCACCGGCAGCCCCGCGTCGCGCGTGGAGGACTCGGACTCGGACGCGCCGCCGTCGCCCGCGGGCTCCGAGGGCCGGGGCCGCGCGGCGGGCCGCGGCGAGGCGGCGGCGGCGGCGGCGGACGAGCGGTTCCCCGCCTGCATCCGCGACGCGGTGTCGCAGGTGCTCAAGGGCTACGACTGGAGCCTGGTGCCCATGCCCGCGCGCGGCGGCGGCGGCGGCGCGCTCAAGGCCAAGCCGCACGTGAAGCGGCCCATGAACGCCTTCATGGTGTGGGCGCAGGCGGCGCGGCGCAAGCTGGCCGACCAGTACCCGCACCTGCACAACGCGGAGCTCAGCAAGACGCTGGGCAAGCTGTGGCGGTGAGCGCGGGCGGGCGCGGGGCAGGGGGCGCGGGGCAGGGGGCGCGGGGCAGGGGTCGCAGGGCGCCGGGCAGGGGGCGCGGGGCATGGGGCAGGGGGCGCAGGGCGCCGGGCAGGGGGCGCGGGGCATGGGGCAGGGGGCGCAGGGCGCCGGGCAGGGGGTGCGGGGCGCGGGGCAGGCGCGGGGCATGCACGGGGCAGGGGGTGCGGGGCAGGCGCGGGGCAGGGGGCGCGGGGCGCCGGGCAGGGGGTGCGGGGCACGGGGCAGGGGGTGCGGGGTGCGGGGCAGGCACGGGGCAGGGGGTGCGGGGCAGGCGCGGGGCGCGGGGCGCGGGGCAGGGGGTGCGGGGTGCGGAGCAGGCGCGGGGCAGGGGGTGCGGGGCACGGGGCAGGGGGTGCGGGGCGCGGGGCGTGGGGCAGGCACGGGGCAAGGGGTGCGGGGCGCGGGGCGTGGGGCAGGCACGGGGCAGGGGGTGCGGGGCGCGGGGCAGGCGCGGGGCAAGGGGTGCTGGGCGCGGGGCAGGGGGTGCGGGGCGCGGGGCAGGCGCGGGGCAAGGGGTGCTGGGCGCGGGGCAGGGGGTGCGGGGCGCGGGGCAGGCGCGGGGCAAGGGGTGCTGGGCGCGGGGCAGGGGGTGCGGGGCGCGGGGCAGGCGCGGGGCAAGGGGTGCTGGGCGCGGGGCAGGGGGTGCGGGGCGCGGGGCAGGCGCGGGGCAAGGGGTGCTGGGCGCGGGGCAGGGGGTGCGGGGCGCGGGGCAGGCGCGGGGCAAGGGGTGCTGGGCGCGGGGCAGGGGGTGCGGGGCGCGGGGCAGGCGCGGGGCGGGCACCAAGCTGCTCCCCAGGCGTCCCGCGGGGCCCGCGTCCCCCCACCCCCGCCCGGCCGACTCCGTGCCCAGGAGCAGGGCGGGAAGGGAGGCGCCGCCGGTGCCGCGGCAGACAGCTCGGCTCTCCCCCCCCACGGCAGGGCTCTACGGGGGTTGGTGAAGGGGGTGGGGGGGCTGGAGCGCCGGTGGGTCTCGTCCAACCCCCATCTGCCCTGCCTCCGGGTCTGGATACAGGCCTGGGGCGCTGTGAACCGGCGGGGGGCAGCCCTGCCCCGGAGGTGGTTAGAGGGAGGCGGAGGCCCTGGAGTCCCAGGGTTTTGGCTGTGCCACCAGAGGCCTGGGAATGGGCATGGCCCCGGGCAGTCAGGTCCGTGTGCAGTATCGTGGTTCTTGTGGGCTTTGGCCCTCAGACAGCCTGGAAGAGAGGCTACCTCGGAGGTTCGGGAAAGGGGGGACGTCGGAGGAGGAAGAGGAAGAGTTTGGGTAGAACTGGTGGTGTGAGCAGGAAGCCCCGCCGGACCTCCCCCGAGGGCCGGTCTCAGAGGACGGCCGCTGGGCAGGGGTCCGGTCCCCAGCCTGTGCCCCTGGGCACCTGACGCGGTGCAGCACGCGTGCGGTGCTGGCTGGCCAGACAGGCGGCGGCTCTGGAGCTCGGTGCCACCCCTGCCCTGCTGTGCGCCCTGCAGCTTGCTGAGTGAGAGCGAGAAGCGTCCGTTTGTGGAGGAGGCCGAGCGGCTTCGCGTCCAGCACAAGAAAGACCACCCCGACTACAAGTACCAGCCCCGCCGGAGGAAGAGCGTGAAGCCCGGCCGCAGCGACTCCGACTCGGGCCCAGAGCTGGGCCATCACCCTGGAGGGGTCCTGTACAAGGCCGACTCAGTCCTCAGCGACACCCCCCACCACGGTGACCACACAGGTGGGCCCCCAGCCCCCTCGGAGTCAGAGAGCCCCACGGCGGGGGGGAGGGGGGAGGAAGGCAGGCCCGGCTAGTCGGAGGCTGAGCCATGGGGGAGGAGCAGGGCTTCCTCCAGGGCAGGCGCCCAGACAGCCCGGGTACACGGGGAGGCCCCGGCTGCAGCTGTTCCTGATGTACTGGGTGGGAGGGGCGGGGGCTGCGTAGCCCTGCAAACCCCACCATCCGGCCGCTCTGCTTGGTCCATTGCTCCTGCGGGGGGTGTTCTCAGCCAGGCTCACCCACGCTGTCTCCTGTGCAAGCCTCTGCCCACTCGGGGTCAGCAGCCCCAGCTTCTGAGCCGGGCTGATGGGCGGGACCCTGGCCCTCAGCCCTGCGCCTCAGCCGCTCAGCCGCTTGGCTGTACCTGGCTTGTTCACTCTGGTGGGCCTAGCGGCCACATCCCCCCCCCCCCTTCGGGGAGGGCCCTGAGCCTCCCCGCAGCACACTGCTGGGCGGAATTTTCTCCACTGAAGAGTGAGGTGTGGGTCTGAGCTGGCAGGAATTTCTGAGAAAGTAAAGAAACAAAAAGCCGTTCATTCCTACCTGCGGCCGTCAGCCGGGCTGCCCCCCCCAGGCCCCACAGAGGAGGCATTCATCCCTGCCACGCGCTCTCTTCCACAGGCCACACCCACGGGCCGCCCACCCCACCCACCACCCCTAAGACCGACCTGCACCCCGGGGGCACCGGCGCCAAGCAGGAGCTGAAGCTGGAAGGCCGCCGTCTGGCGGACAGCGGGCGGCAGAACATCGACTTCAGCAACGTGGACATCTCGGAGCTCAGCAGCGAGGTCATCAGCAACATGGACGCCTTCGACGTCCACGAGTTTGACCAGTACCTGCCACTGAACGGCCACTCCGCCCTCCCCGCGGAGCCCAGCCAGGCCACGGCTGCGGGCGGCTCTTACGGAGGTACCTCCTACCCCGCCTCGGGGCCGGCCAGCGTGGGGGCGTCTCCCGTGTGGGCCCACAAGGGCACCCCGTCGGCCTCGGCGTCGCCCACGGAGGCGGGACCCCCGCGGCCACACATCAAGAGGGAGCAGCTCAGCCCCAGCCGCTACGGCGACCAGCCGCACGGCTCTCCCGGCCGCGCGGACTACGGCTCCTACGGCACCCAGGCGGGCGCCGCGGCCGCCCCCGCCGCGGCCGCCAGCTCCTTTGCCAGCGCGCAGTGCGACTACACCGACCTGCAGGCCTCCAACTACTACAGCCCGTACCCCGGCTACCCCCCCAGCCTCTACCAGTACCCCTACTTCCACTCCTCCCGCCGGCCCTACGCCTCACCCCTGCTCAATGGGCTCTCCATGCCGCCCTCCCACAGCCCCAGCAGCAACTGGGACCAGCCCGTCTACACCACGCTGACCCGGCCCTGAGGCCCCGCCGGACCCCCTGGGGTGCGCGCTGTCCTGGGAGCGCAGCCAGGGCCCCGAGGTCGCCCAGGAGCGTGCACTGTGGAGCGGGAAGACAGCCAGGCTGCCTGAGCTCCGGCAAGTGCCTGCTGAGTCTATGGGAAACCGGCCTTCGCCCCGGTCCCAGATGCCCCCTTGCCTTGTGATCTCCACGCTTCTGCCAGCAGACAGAGCTCGCTTCCTTTTCCTCTTGTTATTCTCCCCACCTCCGTGTGACTGGTGATTCCAAAATGACAGCCATCCGCTCCTCCTCGCCCCCCTCCGCAAGGCCCCGGAGGTGTCAGTGCATCTGGGATTTGCGTCTTCGTATGTGAAAGAGGACAAAGGGAGGAAGGGGCCCCGAGGTCCCAAGGCTGGGTGGGCTGTGGTCCACACCAGCCCCAGCACCCCTGGGACCGCGGGCCGCTTGCTGCTCCGCAGCATCAGCCCTTCGGAGGGCTCGTGGGATGCATTTGTTCCAGCATCTCTTGGGACCAGCCGGGAGATGGAGGTGTTCCTCATAGTCAGAGTTCTTCCTGGCAAGGTTTGGCTGAGACGAACACGTCTCTCTTTTGTGTGTGTGTGTGTTTGTTTTTGGTAATTCTTATTTTTAAAGCTTAAACGTGTTTTGTTTCGAAGGCTGTTGACGTATTTATGTTCTGTATTATTTTTATCTCTATAATTAATGAAGTAATTCGTGCAGAGAGTAGAATTCAAGACAGAAGGCAAGCCGGGAAGCTGGCGGGGGGTGGGACGGCAGTGCCGGCCGGCATTGTGGGTCTGTGGCTGGGACTCCGGTAGACCCCGAGCTCCAAAGGCCCCCCAGAACTCGGTGCCCTGCAAGATCTGCCCCGTGACGTCTGACGGGGCACGCTCCCCGGTGTCACGTTGGACTTCAGAAGGCAGGGGCTGTGCCCCTCGGTGTGGTGCCGAGAGGCAGAAGACAGTTCCCTGCAAGCTGTGGGCCGCAGAGCCGTGATCATCTTGGCTCTTCGGCGGCAGACACCACCTACCAAGCTGTGGAATGAAAGCCTCCTCCACTAAGCGCTGTAGCTAGAGAATAATGATTACCTGATCTGCCGAAGTGCTTCCCGGGCTGCGCAGGTGGCGGCCGCCTACTCCGTGGACTCTTGTGCCTTGGAAACTTTGTAAATTTAACTACGTCGGAGAAGTGGCTTCTTTGTACTTTTTCTACTTTTCCTATCTTTTTCTAGAAAAAAAAAATGTGTTTTTCTCTCTCTCCTTTGTTTTGTGTGTGTGTGTTTGGGTTTTTTTTGCATTTGCCTTTCTGGGGCTTTGGGGGGGCAGCTGCCGCCAACGTGTTTATAGGCAATCTGTTTTTTTCGGTGTCCAGTTTGAGGAGACAGTCACCGCCGCCCGCCTGCTTTCTGACCAAGCAATGCTAACTTTTGTACAGATTGATTTGATAAAATAAAAAGCTTTTTATCTACGTGGGCCACATTTTGTGTGCTGATAATCCGTGAACCCGGGGCCGACCTGGGGGTGAAGGTTTCCTGGTGAGTTTAAGACCGGTTCTGCCGTGGGTCTGACCCCAGTGGGCAGCTGGGAGCCAACCCAGCCCCCCCGCCCCCCCCCCTCGCCCCTCAAAGCTGCCGTCCTGGAACTTAAACACCTGTGTGGTTAGCGCAGCCCTTCCTGGGGCGGAGCGGGCGCTGCCTCCGTGGGTGAAAGCAATCCAGACGGGTGGCCCTGGGGCCATGGTTTCCTCTGAGGTGAATCGTGCGGTCTCTGGAGGCTAGGTAGGCTGATGGCATTTGGGGGGCCTTGGCGTGGAGCCAGTCGGGGGATTGGATAAAAGCTGCCCTGCGGGAGCCAGGCAGAACTGTCTGCTTGGAGGAGTTTCTGGGGAGGAGGTGCGGGAGGGGAGGGGAGCCCCTCCTCAAGCTCCCTGGGCGCCTGTGGCTGGGCCGGGGCCGGCTGGGCCGCCGGGGCCTCCGGAGCCTTCTCCATCTGCGGGCAGGGGAGGGGCTATGCCACCGGGGAGCACAAGCAGGGCACCCGGCAATTTTCACACACGGCTGGAGCAGCGGGTGCCTTCCACCCCTCCACCCCCCACCAGCTTGACGCTGCGTCCTCTGCCCGCCCCAGCGAGCCTGTGCGCAGGGCAGTGCGCCCCGGCCGGCCGTGCAAGGAGATGCTGCCAGGTTTCCAACGGCTCCCAAGGTGTGTCCGGCCGCAGGTGAAGGGCAGGGGGTCCGGAGAGGCTGCGAAGACCCAGTTCACGGATGCCTGCGGCCTACGTGGAGCCAGCCCAGCCCACCCTGCCCCCAGCCAAGGCTGTCCCGGTCTGTATGGCCCCCGAGCCCCCCGGACCAAGGAGAGCCCCAGGCATCAGGGCTGCACGAGGCCCACGCTGGGCCTGGCGCTGCAGGCTGGCAGTCCCGAGGGCAGGATGGCACTGCCAGTTTTGTTGGGGTTTGGCGGGACTCCGCGTTAACTCCTGCGGCTCAGACCCTCTGTCTCATGTAGCCGGGAGCGACAGGGAGCCTCTGCCTGAGAGAGGGCGCGGGCCGTGGCCAAGGCTTGGTCCTCAGAATGAGCCCAGGCCTGGGCCCCGCGGTCTCCCCCGCCGACTCCTCCTCACACTGCCCTGAGGAGGTGGCTGGGGGGGGCTGTCCCGTGCCTCTAGCTTTGAGTTTTGAGGGACCCTGCAGCATCCTGGAGGAACTCACGGCCGGCGCCATTTCCCAGGCCGACTCCAGCCGCGGTCCAGATTCTCCCCGACTGTCCCCCCATCGGCGTGTCTGCTGCGCAGGCCGGTGGCGAGTTCCTCACTTCTTTCCTCGCCCAGACCCGGTGGCCTCTGGCCTCCATGGAACACAGCAAGTGCCCTGTCCAGACAAAGGAGAGCCGCGCCGCCGCTCTGCCCACATCTGATAGGCTGGAAAAGCCCCTCGGCCCTTCCAGGGAGGGCTGAGCTCCGGAGCGGGCCTGCTCCTCCCCAGTCCCACACCTCACTGTCTCATGTTCCGGAAGGAGCAGAGCTGTTCAGGACGTGTCCCCGGGGGCTGCTCTCCCTTCTGCGTGTGGGGGCACGGGGCTGTTCCTTGCTCCCTTTGGGGTCTATGGCTGCCTCTAGGAGTCTCCATTCCCCACCTATATGCGGGCAGGACACAGGGGAGACCATGGGCTGGGGTGTAACAAGAGGCTGACGCCACTGTCACAGAACCCGTCCTGCCTCGAGCCACATGGCAACTGTGTGGCTCATGGGCGAGGTAAATTGGTAAGAAAATCAAGCAAGAGGGACGCGGGCCCAGCCGGTGTCCCAGGCAGGGGCCTGGTGTGGCCACAGCTCTGTGTCCCGGCCACCGCCCTGTGTGTGGCCAGTCCCCGGCACCGAAGCCCAGCCGCACACCTGACTCGTATCTAGGCACTGAGCAACTTCCTGTGGAGAGGGCAGATAGCCCGATGGGCCTCTGTGCCTCAGTTTCCCCCATGGCTATGGGCGTTGTGACAGTCTTCCTGGGTTTCCCTGAGGATTCGCTGAGCTGGACTGGCGTGGCTGTGCCCAGCACACTGACCTTTGTGACTTCCTGCCCATCACCACCAAACCTCAAGGCCGCTTGTCCAGTTAACCCTGGGTTCTGGGCAGGGTGGGTAGACACCCCTCCCCCAGCCTCCCTGAGCCTCCCTGCTGCTCTTTGGCTCTCTGTGAGGAAGGAGGGAGGGTCAGAATCTGGGGTCACCTCTACCAGGGTGGCTTGGCCCAGGCCAGGGCTCCCTGGAGCTTTAAATGTAAAGCTGAACCCCTGCGGTTGGTGGTAGGAAAGCCTGAGACACTCAGAAGATTCCCCTCCCCCCTCCCCTTGGCTTTCATCCGATTCCCCGGGCACCTGTCCTGGGGAACCCCACAAAGGGTTAAGGGGTGCGGGCTGCCGTGCCCATAACTGGGCAGGCGGAGCGGCCTGGCTGGTACCAGGCCAAGGGCTTCGAAGGCGCTGCATTTTAATGAATCATTATTGCCGGGCAGCCCTTTGTGTTTCTTTATCCGGTGCACAATAAAAGAATTAATTAGACAGAAAATGGCAGGGCAAGGAACTGACAAGTCATTAAGGGCTACTGAATGACCGATGAGATGCGGGCCGGGTGGGTTTCGGCTCCGGAATGATAATGGCCAGCGGAGTGCTTTGTATGCATGACCAGTAGGCCTCCGCCGCTGCCATTGTGGCCGGGCGGGAGTGGACATGGGGCCCTTGCTCTCCAGGCGGAGCTGAGTGAGCCGACCGGACAAAACCCTGTTTTGATTTCCGTGTGCGGGTGAGCATCCGCAGTCAGGCCCCGGGAGCCTGCCAGAGGCCCGTTCTGCCCTTTGGACTTTATTTCCTTGCTGGGGAACAGGCGCAGTGGGTGTGGTGGAGGTTTGAGAACTAGGACTGGGGGAGGCGGAGGGGGGATGTTGAGGGGGAGGGGGGCTGATGGGGCTGGGGGGGACGGGAGGGAGTGCTGCCCCCAGCCCCGCTCGACCCAGATCGGCTCTCCCACTCAGAAGCGCGGCTCCCTGTGCGTCTGTGTCCTTCACAGTGGCCACTGAATGTCCAGAATGCAGGAAGGCAGGCCAGGAGCAGAGACGCCAGGGAGTGATGAGCTGGTCATTAGCCTCTGGCCAGCAGGAGGCCCGCTGACCCCCTGCCCTGCAGCCTGGGCCCCGGGGCTCCCCTGTGGGGTCCTGTAGGAGAGAGGGGTGGAGTCCCCAGGCCTCCCCGGCCTGAGGAGCGCAGTGGAGGTGGGCTGGCCGTGGTCAGCAGCCTCCCGGGGTGGACATGAGGGGGTGAGATGCCACCCCCAGGCCGCACCACGCCCACCGCTGATGTGGACGGGCCCAGCTCGGGGCTGCACCTCTTCCTGACCGTTAACTGGCATGAAGATTTGGGGGTGCAGCTGGTAGCCCCACTAATACCTGTGATCGTGGGGCTCGTGAAGACCCGTCCCCTGTGTGTGAGCTGCGGGTAGACGGGGAAGAGGAGCTGGGGGCCCGGCTGGGGACCGCAGGTGCTGGGAGGGCAGTGGGGCCCGGACTCCTGGGGTGGCCAGGAGCGTTGGGCCCTGAACTCAGGGCCTGGGCGCTGTCCCTGAGCTCTTTCGCTCAAGGTTAGCGCTCTACCACTGTGAGCTGCAGCGCCACTTCCTGTTTTTGAGTGATTCATTGGAGGTACGAGTCTCATGGGGACTTTTCTGCGGGCTCTGAACCACGATCCTCAGATCTCAGCTGAGCGGCTAGGTGACAGCCGTGAGTCCCTGGCCCCCGCGGGGCAGGAGTTCTCGCTGCTGTACCGAGGGCCCCACATTCCACATTCTGTGTGTGCCCCCCCACACCGGGGGAGCAGGGTGAGGCTTCTACTGTCCTCCAGAAAGAGGAGGCCTCGGGACTCGGAGGCCCCGACCCTGCTCTCCCCGGGGGCGCGAGCAGAGCCCCTGCTTGATGCCCGGCGCGGAGCAGTTCCTCTCCGTCCCTTGTGCTCTGGCGGAAGGCATGGGGCAGGTTTGGAGGCTCAGGTCTGGTCCTGCCAAACTCACTCAGTGACAGACACTCCCTCGCGTTGCTAGGGGCGAGTAGGCGTCTCTAGACACCAGCCTGGCTGCGAGGCCGAGGCCGGGAGCGAGCCGGCGTGGCTGGTAG